ATTTGTTACATAGTTTCTTAAACTGCAGGCTCAGAGGCCTGCAGCCGCAGGCGGGGAACAATGGTTTCCTCCGTCACTGAGGCAAGCAAGCCTCATGTTAGTTTCAGGCTGCCGGCCGCCATCTTGGCTGACAGTTAATTTGCATATCTCACTGATTAGCCAATGAAAAGGGTAGCAGTCGTACACCAATTACCATGTTTCTCTTTTATTAGATAGGATACCCCTAGTGAAGTACTTGGAGCCAATCTAATCTGACTTTTAAAAAAATGAAAAATATGGCTTTTAGTAACTGTCAGGTGCAAGTCATCAGGGCTACAGCTCTTTAGTACCTTCCTTAAAAGCTCATAAAATACTGCCATTAATTATTTACTTGTACCTCAAAGCAAAGTTAAATGTAAACATTCAAAATCAGGTAAAAAATAGAGAAACTATCAGTTTTCCTTAGAACCCAGGTTTCAGTCATTCAGAAATGTATTTTTTATAATGATTGCAATATTAATACCCCTATGTGCCAGGTACTGTGACAGGCCAGACCTTCTTTCTGCCTCCTTGAGATCCAGACTAGCCCCTGAGACATTACCAGGATATGCCCAATAAATATTATAAACACAAGTATGTATAGTTAAAAGAGGCACCTTCCTCCCTCCTAGCTTAAAAGCCAGTAGGAAAATTCACATGAAATTCTCAGGGAAACCAAAAACATGTCCATGTTTTAAACAACTTGCAGGTGACAGTTTTGTGGGGGCGGTTTCTGTAGTGGACATTTTGGTTTTATCCAAATTGAAGGGAAAAGTTCTGAGATTTCTCTGGTCTCAGGGTGATGCCAGACCAGACTTTCTAGGCTAGTTCTGTTTAGTGTGTAGAATCCTTGGCTTAGCCTATATCTTGAATCTGAAGCCAGGCAAATCACTATGCAAACGGCAGTGGCCCAGCCTGAGCACAGCACAATCACCAGAGTTGTCTGTAAAGCTATAGGTGCTCAAGTTCCACCCAAGACCACTAAGAATGGGAAGTAAAAACAGAAAAAAGACTCCCCAAGCACTTCAGATGCACAGCTTTGGTTAAAAATATTATATTACCTAGTCAGATTACTTAAATCACATTAGGATGCACTCACATTAGAACTGCACAGGATGTGCATCCAGCCTAAGGTTAATTTTCTCCACTCCAGGTGACTAAAATAGTCACAAGACTGAATGTACTCTTTCTTTAGTGCTAGTTCACAGACTAAACTTGCTAAGATTGTTCAATTTTCATCCAAGCTTCAAACTGAGGTCATGGCAACCTCCCTTTGAATAAGTATATAGAAAATATTCAAATATTTGACTGTTCATGAAATAGCTTTACTTGAATGTTTCAGGAGACAAAAGAAAACAACAACAACATAAAACAGGGAGGGAAGCTGATTTTTTAAATATACTGTATTGCCTTAAATATGAGGTCATGACCAATAAGGGAAAAGTACATCACACTCAGATTTTGCTGGGTTTAGGACAAAAAGATGGCAGCAGGGGAAGTATGGGTGGTTTAATCCACTGCAATAATAGAAACTGGAAATGAAGGAGTCATTTCTCTTGTGTGACCCATGTATAACAATAAATTATCTGACCATTGATGTTTTTAGATTACTGCACTTTCAGTGGGAGAAAAAAACATTTCCTTGAAATGCCACAATATAATCAACATACTATGTTTCAAATATTGCACATTTTTAATCAGTCCCATTTTCTCAATCTTGCCTGCTTTATATAGTTACAACAACATGCATTCCTCCTGGTTCAACCTTATTTCCCCATAGCAAAGTCAATTCAGAAAGCAATCCCTTCACCAGATAGGCACTAAAGATTAAAAAAAAAAAAAACAATAAAAGGAATAACAAGTACTACAATGTCTTCTATTATCAGACAGCCCCATCATATGATGTCACATAAAAATAGAGAAGAGTATAAAACCTCAAGGAAGACAGCATATGATTAAGTGACGGTGCCTTCAATAACTAGACCTAAATAAATATAGTTCCTCTTACCACAGGTACATTACAAAAACCCCTAAAGGGGATGAAAGAGGTCTTTCTAGTGTTGGGGGATGCCAATTTTTGAAGATATAAGCAAAAGAGGCCTCTGTTAACAGATTTCATTAACGAAAACAAAACTAAAATACTGTCTGCAGCCTAAGCAACTAAACAACAATTATCAAAAATCATAGTGAATCGTTCCGTACTGTATCATAGCATGATAAAAATTATCTAGAATCAATGTTTTTTAAAAATAACAATGTGCGTTGTATGTACACTTTAATTTCTTTTACTATCTCCTGGAAGCTCAAGAAACCAGCACTAATGGATGCAATCAGAACCATGCACAAATCCAAATGTGAAGTCTTGAAATGCCTTAAATGTGCACAGCTCTTCACTCTTTATAACAAATATTCAGACAGTAAAATATCTTCTTTTAGCCTTCCAGGAACTCCATGAAACACTGCCAACATCCTCATTTTACAAATGATAAAGTTGAAGCACAGAGATGCTAAACATCTTGCCTAAGATCACTATGGATACTAATGTCCCCTTCCAAACTCAGAAAAAAAAAATGTTTCCCTTACACCCAGGTTTACTATACTACCCAGGCTTTTCTAAGTAATGCAGTAAAATCAGGTATTGATAGTGTCATATATGAATGCTGAATGTCATGCCCTCTCCAAGTTCTACAGCAATGCTTTACTCTTACATTCTCATGTAAAAATCTTACGAAATCTAAGGAACCCTTTGCCATAAAAAAGGCACATGTGCAAAAGTTCATAGCAGTGTTATTCATAATAACCAGAGTGGAAACCACCCAAATGTCCATCACTTGATGAATGGATTAAAAAATTGTTATATATCCATAACATGGAATATCATTCAGCCAAAAAAGGAATGGCGTACTGACACAACATGAATAAACCTTGAAAACATTATGCTAAACAGGAAAAAGAAACTAGTCACAAAACACCACATGTTGTATGATTCCACTTGTATGAAATGTCCAGAATAGGCAAATCAATAGAGTCATAAAGTAGTCTAGGGATTCAAGTGGGTGGGGGAGAAATGGGTATTGAATGCTCGTGAGTATGAGGTTTCTTGTCAGAGTGATGAAATTGATTGTGTGATGGCTGCACAGCCATGAATATTCTAAGTCAGTGAATTGTACACTTTAAACAGTGTATGATATGGTATGCCAATTATATATCAATAAATATTCTATTTTTAAAAAAATCCTTTAAAATGCACATACAAGTAATATTTCCCAGGTAATTTTGGAAGGTTTGCTAAAGTCCCTGAGCCCATCTACAGGTGCAGAGGGAGTCAAAACTCAAGGCCAGCAACTCTTGTTCTATAGAACCAAGAATCATCATCCTATTTTCTTTGTTTTACAGTTAATTTTATTTCAGTTTACCCCATCTCAACTACCAATGCATCCTACATTTTAAGATCATTACTTCACCTATTAAATCACATGACCACAGGTTTTTAATATGGATTCATTAAAAACAAATAGTATAGTTTTATAATTACAATTTTTAAAAGCTTTAGAAAGAACTTTTAGTAATTGGGTATTATTTACAAGACATTGTTGGAATTTAAATATGTAAAAGATACATTTTTTTGTCCTCAAGGAGCTTAAAAATCTAAAAGGTAAGATAAGATCAATACACAAATAACAATATACAAAACAGTAGGTGAATTATGCATTTAAAAGGTCAGGGAAGATCAGCAGAGGAAGAATGATTAAAGGAAAGCTTCTTGGCAGAGGTGGACATTTAATTCTGGGTTTGACCTAGAAGAATAGATAGGATTTGAACATGCAGAGGAGTAGAAAGACTTTCAGATGAGAGTAGAAGCCTACCTATATGGTAGGCCATCAGAAGCCAAAGAGAACTGCTGAGTTGGGCAGTTACCTAATCAAAGTGGGTTATTAATAAGGTTGATTGCTCCGTAATGTGTGGATGCATGTGGAAAAGAAAAAAACTGGATCAGGGAAACAAATTAGGAGCCTATTACAATAGTATTAAGAAAAGGTTACTAGTCTGATTTAGGGAGTGATGTCCTGACTCAGTAGTCATTTTAAAATATCAAAGCATCCACCAAAAAGTTAATTTTTAGACATGCATTACATACTCATTTAAAGTTCTGCCAATATAGAAGCCAGCTATAGTTCCATCATGGTGCATATGTCCCTTGAGTAACCCATCTACAACATAAGTTTTGAGATTTCAAAGTAGCATTTAACATGAAGTTTTTGCTACCTTAGTTTGTGAGATTAGGAAGAGCACCAAAGGCTCCTTTAGGCCCCCTTTCCTCCATTAATTATACAGGAAACAGTCGATATTCTAAAAGTTTACAATAAAACAATCCTTATAAGTACCACGCGCTAACCGATTGTGCCACTGGAGCTCCAGTTTACAATAAAATAATCCTTATAAGAGTTGGATGACAAGCTTGCACGTGACCAAGTAAACCTCAACTCCAAGACTAAAAGACCTTAGACAAAGTGGTATCTGTAATAGCAAATCCCAAAGGGACAGATGACCTGTTGAGCACAACAGAATTCCCTTGAAATGGCTTTATTTCTATTGTGAGCCTGAGGTGATTGCAGGTAGAGTATAACCTTAAGTAGTTTTATAGATTTACCACGTAGATAGGCACCGGACAAATAGCATAGGCGCGTTTACCTGCCTGGAACGGATTCTTCATTGCTCAGAAGAGATAAAAAGAAAGCAGGAGGCTACCTACAAGGTTTCCTTCCTCGGGAAACACAAAGCGAGGTCAAACACTGGGACTAGGAAAAAGAGGGTAGGAGTGACCAGAGCCCTTCAAAGAAAAAGCCCTGCCCAGATCTCCACAAGCCAGTTTCCCCAGGCCCATAAAATTAACCCTGAGCCCTTTGACTTCTAATTCCCGCCCACCTCCAGACAGACCCTCCAACTCCCTCTCCCCTTCAGTTCTTGGCTCACTTGTCTCGGATGATGGTCTGCAGCTCCCGGATCTGCTCATTCATGGGTAGCAGCTTAAGCTGAGCCCCAATCTGCCAGGAGAGTTGGCTGTCCCTTAGGAAGGAGTCCCCGGCCGATGCGACATAGTTGCCACTGCCATGGTTGTGCTCCTGGCTGAGGCTGGCGCTGCTGCAGGCCTGAGGGCTCCCCTCCCCCAATACACTAGAATGGGCGTGACTGGTGAGGAGAGTCGGTTTGGCCTTGGAGGTGCTGTTTCCCCCCACATAATCTGGGGTCGGGTCGCCAGGTCGCAGCGCCTCGGGGCTTGGGGTAGAGGCAGAGTTTACTTGTTGGTTGTGACAGGGCATGGAGTCCGGACTCCGTAACTCCGTGGCCATACACCGACCCCGGGCTGTCCCCGCCGCTACCAACCCCTAAGGATAAAGGAGAACGGGGAGAAAGGGTGCGTGCTCACGTGCTCGCCTGATAGCCCCCGCCTCCTAGGAATTTATAGCCTCTTAGCCCTCTCACCCCTTGGACTTCCTCTGGTTCCCTTTGGCCTCACCCTTTCCCAGCCCCGCCCACCAGATGTACAGACTGCTAGACACTCTATTGGCTTCTCTCCCTGCCACTCTGCAGTAGCACGCTGTTTGTTAACCCTTTGAGTCACTCCAGTGGTGTGAGTTTCCACATCTAGACAGGCAGATCAGTTGAGGCTAAGGATGCTTAGTTGCAGGGTCTTTCGGGAGCCCCTGGGGATTCTGCATGCAGAACTTTGGGTGAGTTTTAGAGCTAGGAAAAACTAAGGGGGTGATAAAATGATGACACACCCCCTGAAGGCCCATGTTTTCAGACTTTGTTTCTTGGCAGAGAGCTTATACTTCAATAACTACATCTTCAGTTAGCTTCTCTATGTGACGGAAAAGACCAAAGTTTTGCCACCCTGAAGCTGCTTTGGGGGATATTGAGTTTAAGCTGTTTATTAAAAAAATAAGACTCAGAAAGAACCTACTGAAGAAATTCAGAGAACCTGATTCAAGAAGTAGAATTCAGGGTGTTCCCTTTAACCTAATTTGAATTAAGTGTGATAAACAAGAGAGCTTCAGGCAGGGACCTGTTAGCTAGATACCCCCTGTGTCCCAATGTTTCTGAGTTACCTAGCAAGGATGCTTTGCCATATGTATTCTTCTCTTCCTCAGCTACCTGTAAATCCCCCATTTTCACTTCTGAAATCTAATGTCCTGTTCCTCCCCTTTTCTCATTTGTTCAAAATGTCTTATATACCTAATGTTGCCCCACTGTCTTTGGAAATTTTATGGATTTATCTATGTGAATTCCCCATGTGCATGTATTAAACTTTGATTTTCTCCTGTCAATCTGTCTCTGTTCACTTGGTTATTAGCCCAGCCAGAAGAACTTGGAAGGTGGTATGAAAAGTATTAATATATTTTAGCCCCCACTTAACCAAACGAGGAAGTAAAAATATGCCTAGAAGACTGCCCAAGAACCTGCCCTCTACTAGACTGTTCAACCAGTTTAAGCTTCCCAAGTGTGATTGACTGCGTTTTTCCTTATCTATATTGGTTGGACCCTACACTGTACAATTACCATGGGGATTCTGATAGCATTTTAGATCCACTACTGGGGCAGGATAGTAAGAAGCCAGGAAAATTCCTTGATAATGGGGAAACTGAGACAGCTGATTAAAAATGGCCTCATCCAGCACCCTGACTCACCTGCCCCCTTCTCCCTTGCATGACCACTCCCTTAAGCCTCAAGCCCTCAGGACAATAAGGTTCTGAAAAGCCTCAGGTCTGGTTGACAACAGAGACAGAATTTTGGTCCAACTAGAGATAACATCTAGGCCTCAGTTATGTTTCAGCTCCAGGCCCAGAAAAGCAGCAAAACCAGAAGCAACAACATGACCCAGCTGCAACAACTAATGATCTCCTATCTTAGCACAATCCTGAAAGTATACATATGGGAAGCTGATTAATATTCTATTGAGACCCTCTGCTTGGACCTGAAATTCCTGCCTGTACTAAACAGATAAAACCCTTTAAGAGAAAGGACCCAGTGGACACACTCTCTTTCTCTATGGCATGCTTGTGACTCCCTCCATTCTTTTCTAAGGTGTGTAGCTTTGCTTTCTTTCTCCTAAGCCTTAAAAGTTGCCAGGAGACTTGCAACCAGAGGAGTAGTAGGCAGCAGCAACTCTTCCAGGGCTAAGCACCTGAATCTGTCTCCAAGGGCCCTTCTTTTGTCTCTGTAACTTGTTTCCTGCATCCATGCTACAACCCAGCTGGCTCATTTCTGCCTCTATGACTTTCTTTCTAAAAGTCTAAATAAACTTCTTGCACTAAACTTGTTGGCTATGAATTCTTTCTTTACTGATGTCTAACCATCACTAACACTACCACTTGGGTGTTTTTTAAATGCTTGAAGAGACACATTTAGTGTGTGGAATCAGTATAAATACTTGAAGTAAGAATGGCTACAGCAGTACTTTTCAACATCAGTGTGTATTACAATTGTAAAGCTTGCTAAAAAGCAGGTTCTCATGGACTACTGTTGAGATTCTGTTTTGGTAAATCTGAGATAGAACCCAAGAATCTTTATCCTTAACAACTAATCCAGCCAATTGATTTTTTTACATGGTACTCTTTGTTGAACAGTGACTTATAGGCTCCATTTTTAAAGAGCTACAAGTCAGAAACCTGACAATTTTGCTAAAAAATTATTGAGCAGCATTTAAAAAATCCCTTCCCCATCTACTAGTATGTGAGATGCTTTAACAATTTGACCCCTAAATATTCTTCCAATTTAGAAATTCTAAAATTCTATTTGCCTTGCAAACAGCCAATTCTTAAAATGTCCTATTCCACACAGGAGCATGAGCAACAGATGCAGAGATTCAGAGAAATATAATAACAGATAACAGGAATACCTAGGTCTTTGGTGGGAATTGATCCATTTTATATTTGTTTAATGTTTTGGTATTAATATTATTTTTATCCCTTTATCTCCAATTGTCTCTAGTGTTTGTCTGACCCTTTAGGTCAGTACACTATTAGCTGTAATTATACAGAGTTTAAATTTTATTGGATGATAGGAATTGCAGCCTAAAATTATAATGTGACTGACTTTTGAAGATCTATGCATCTTTTCACCCAGCACAGAATTAAATTCAAAGGAACTATTTTTACTCTTACAGAAAACACCCATGCATACATTTCCTTATATTAACCAATAATCATTAGCAAATCTATCTAGTCAGATTAAGAATTTAAGATGCTATTAAAGCAAAATTCACTAAGGATTAATCATAACACCTTAAATATAGTGGTTTATAATTTACAAAGAACTTCTATACACTTTCTCATTTAATTCCCCAAAAAAGCTTGAGGATAACCAATCCTACTTTATAGATGACATTTGCATAATTATTCTCCCTAAAGTGATTGTCCAAGGCCACCCATCCAAAAAGAAAAACAAGACAGTAACCTCAGTGTTTTGACTTTAAATTCAGTCTTATTTACACACAGCTACATATTCAAAAAATCAGTAAGTTCTCTCATTTATATCACAATTTTGATGTATTCCAGCTTGCTTTCTAGAGATTTTTTGTTTTCTTTCTGTGTTTCCTCGTTACTGTGGTTATTTCTGATATTTGCTGGTCTCCTCTGTCTAGGCATCTATGTATTGACCTTTCTCTAACAGCTTTCTCTGAAGAGGTCTTTCTACCGTTTTCCAGTAGGTGGTGCTGAATCACAAGATTTTTACATCTGTTACCTCCCTGAGCTGACTTCCTTGGCTTTCATCACATAGTACAGCCACACTGCTTGGAGGTGGGGGTCTGTTTTGCCCTCACTTTAATGGCAACCTTGAAACTCTCTAAGGTCCCCCCACATACCACACCTGGGGATCAATGACAGAGGGAAACAGCAATTCTGTGGGAAGCACCCTATTGTCTTCACTAGCAGAGAGGTGTGGACAAGGAGCCTGGAATGCTGGTGACCCTTCAGCCCTGGCAAAGGTCAGAGCTATGCACCAACTGTTTAGTCGAGACAATGGTAGCTGAAGCAACTTCCGGACCAGATAGTAATGTAAATCCTTACTGATAAGATAGTCTGTCTGTTACTGGAAATAGCCTGCCTAAGGGCTATCAGTGTATCTCAAACTGAATAAAAGGGTGGCAAGGCCTGAGAACAAGCAGTCCTTCCTCTTGCATTGGGCTCTCACCTGGCCCCCCAATTTCCAAATTATTATTTCTTGTCTCATCTCTGTCATTTGCACACAGCCCCTCTACCAGAAACTGAATCCTGAACCACGCAGGACGTGGGTGATTCACACAATTCTACTGCAACAGCTATTGGTTTGCAGATAATGTGCTCCCCTACCTTACACCAAGGATAACTGGAGGTGAGTTTTGGGAGTCTAATGGGCATCAGGACTCTGTGGCTCCATGTCTTTGGAGCACAGGCCACCTGACAGCAGATAGCCAGGCAGAACGCCTACACTGTGCCCTTGCTCAGGTGTCTCAGCTGGCTCAGTCACAGTTTACACTGCTCACCCTGCTGAAGAGCCAACAGAGGCTCTGTATTCCTCCTGGCCCATGGAAGTGCATGCTACCACCAGTTTCCTCCCCTCGTTGGTTGATTCAGAGAGGGAAATCACTTTGGCCAGAGTCCCACTGCCTCAACCATAGACTACAAGACACCTGACCCCCACTGTCACAGGCTCCGGGACCCTCATAATGAGTTGCAGAGTGACATGACTCCAGCAAGAGTCACACAACACTGGCCAAAGTCACAGTCCCTGAGCCTCAGGCCCCGAGACTATTTCTCCCAGGCTGTGGACTCTGGGCACCCACAGTGAGCACATACCAGTGAGGCCTCAGGCAAACCTTCCCAAAAGATATGGAATCATGATCAAATCCAAATCAACTTGTACAATGAAGCCGGGGGTGAGTCACATTGCCAATCCATGATGAGATTTCATCCATGAATAAGAAACTAACATTAAAGACCCAACTACATCAAAAGAACCCAAATAGCTCAAGTAGAGAGCTCAGCTAGATCACCAAACCCAGGAGACCTGAGAGACTGCACCACTGGGTCCCCAAAATCAACAACTACATAGCACCACCCCCGAAAGAACCTGGATAGCAGTTGGATCTAAGACATAGAAACAATTAAAATGGTACAGCAAAAAATGGGGAGACAAAATACAATCCCCAAAGGAAAGAAAAAGCGAAATCACCAGAACGGGAATTAAATGAAATGAGGCAAGAAACATGTCAGAGAAATAATTTAGATAATGGTTATAAGGATGCTCAAAAAGCTGGATGAAAAGTACACAAAACTCAATGGGAATTATACGGAGCTGAATGAGAATGTCACCAACATGAAAAGGAACCAAGAGTAAGTGAAGCATGACCTATCTCCAATGAAGAAAACAATAGAAGGCTTAAACAGTAGACTAGAAGAGGCTGAGGACTGCATCAGTGAATTAGAAGACAAGGTAGGAAAAACCACACAGACACAAGAGAAACTGG